CCCCAAAACCCCAAAACCCCGCAATAAGACATTTGATAAAATCAAGAGAGTCATGCCTAAATATCTATTTACGAATATATTGCTAATGATCTGTCTTAATTGCACAATTAATTGTTGGCCTTTTATAAAACATTTTATTATTTCTAAAAATCTTCGATTACCAAAAGTATTGGCTCTAATGAACTCCTCCATCGCTAGCATTATCACATGCGATATGTGCAATATTTTCTTCAATGAATTAGATAGAAAACCTTTGATTGTGTCTTGTGGAGATACAATATGCAAAAAATGCTATGAAATGGAGAGAAGCGAAGCAGTTGGTAAAACCATGAAGTGTCCTTTCTAGCATGAATATTCTATAGATGATCCTTTTTTTGTAAACTAAAAGGTAATCAGGAGTTTGAAAGATTATGACTTTCATAACATTAAATGCGATTAGCATCCTCATGAAAGTGCTAATATTTACTCAAAGAGTGTTGACAAAATCCAATGTGTGGCATGCTGTTAAGCTGATCCAGAAAAAATTGATCTCAATGATAACGCAATGACATTTACATTAAGCAGAGAGCAATTAGACATCATATTTAAGAGAATGGTAGACATCCTTGGCATTGAAATCTTTAGGATTCAAAGCATTGTGGACCAATACTAAGCTTATATAAACAAAGAAAAGATTTTTACAGGAAATCAGTTACTTGACCTCATTAGGTGCAATCTTGCTGTACTTAAATATGCTGAAATTAATAGTGAGGATGAGATGATAATTAATGATCCTCTCATTTCAGGGTTTGTATTTGCTTTTACTAAAGCGTCAGCTCAATAACTATAAGTTAAACCAATTGAAAAATAATAGAAAATTGACCCACCTAAATAAGAAATCAAAGTTAAGGACACCAGAGCTTAGCCCAAAAAATAGTTGATTGATTAAGAAGAAAAGAAATCAATTTTACAGAATCTTCAAAAGCCAGAATAAATATTGCCTTAAAGATTATAATCTAAGAAAAAAGAATCACCAATTAGTTTAAATTCAAAACCATTAGATAATATCATTGTACAAGACCTGCATTAGCAAAAACCACCTGTATAAAAGAAACCATCATTTGAAATAGAATATAGTGATAAATCAGAGTCATAGTTAATTTAGTAATCACAGCCAAATTTCCATTCTCAGGTATAGGTAGCACTTAATAATGTAGTAAATAAATTGCCAAAGTTTTACTGGCCAATGTAGTAGTCTACAACGATTTTAGAACCAATTAAGAAAGTCTAGCCTTTAGTAGAGTAAAAGGAGGATTAGTTAGTGTTCAATTGGCCAGAGTAAGAAAACGGAGAGAGTTCATAGTTCTATTCAAAAGAGGATCTTATGAGTAAAGATTTTGCTGAAGAAATACCTTAACAGATTAAATTTTCAGATCAAAGGAAGTATAAGGAATTTAGGAGATTGATAATGAAAGAAATACAGCCAGATTATCAAAGTAAAATAAGGAAGGAAATAAAAAAAGATTGCAAATCTAAATTCCAACTCCTTTATAAAGCTGCTTTCGATGGATTTACATCTAAAAATTTTCATAATCTTTGTGATAAGAAAGGAGCTACTTTAACATTCATATTAGCAGATTCAGGATAGATATTTGGTGCTTACACCTCAGTAGCATGGACATCACCTGCTAAATGGCAGTGGAAAAAAGACACTAAAGCTTTTATTTTCTAACTTAAGAAAGGAACTATTCACAAGCCAACAAAATTTACTGACTGTGCAGTAAGACATTAAAAAGATTATTTGATGGTATTTGGAAAAGGTTGTGATTTGATTATTAAGAATGACTGTAATGTGAATCGTGATAGTTTTTCTGATTTAGGGGAAACCTACCTCCCTCCAGAGGGTTATTAGAGTAAGGAGGAAACTACAAAGTGTTATTTAGCAGGTTCTTATCAGTTTAAAGTTATAGATATTGAGGTTTACAAAGTTTCATCTTGATTTATTTTTTTCAACTGACTGGTAATAAACAGAATTTTGAATAAATGATTTCAATTTTAGTAATATTAGAAATTCAATACTCGATTAAAACATAGCTTGAGGGGTTTTGGGGTTTTGGGG